GGGCGAGAGGGTGAGGGAGGGCGAGAGGGGGGGGCGATGGAACCTCGCAGGGCAAATCTCGGCTGCATCTCGGCTGCATCTCGGCTGCATCTCGGCTGCATCTCGGCTTGCATCTCGGCTTGCATCCCGCGCCTCGACGGGCAAGTCGAGGTTGCGGTCGACGGTCGCCCGGCCGTCCCACATCGGCGGGACGTGAGACACGGCGAGAGGCTCTCCTGAGTGAGGTCGAGACGAGGTCGAGAGGAGGTGAAGAGGAGGCCGAGAGGAGGTGAAGAGGAGGCCGAGAGGAGGTGAAGAGGAGGCCGAGAGGAGGCCGAGAGGAGGCCGAGAGGAGGCCGAGAGGAGGCCGAGAGGAGGTGAAGAGGAGGCCGAGAGGAGGTGAAGAGGAGGCCGAGAGGAGGTGAAGAGGAGGCCGAGAGGAGGTGAAGAGGAGGCCGAGAGGAGGTGAAGAGGAGGCCGAGAGGAGGTGAAGAGGAGGCCGAGAGGAGGTGAAGAGGAGGCCGAGAGGAGGTGAAGAGGAGGCCGAGAGGAGGTGAAGAGGAGGCCGAGAGGAGGTGAAGAGGAGGCCGAGAGGAGGTGAAGAGGAGGCCGAGAGGAGGTGAAGAGGAGGCCGAGAGGAGGTGAAGAGGAGGCCGAGAGGAGGTGAAGAGGAGGCCGAGAGGAGGTGAAGAGGAGGCCGAGAGGAGGTGAAGAGGAGGCCGAGAGGAGGTGAAGAGGAGGCCGAGAGGAGGTGAAGAGGAGGTCGAGAGGAGGTGAAGAGGAGGCAGAGAGGAGAGCGAGGCGCGCCATTGATGAAGAGCTGCGGCTGGGCAGGCCAGCGGTGGTTGAGGAGCGGCTTGCCTGATGGTTGATGGTCGCACGACCTCATCGACAGATGCATGACTGGGGCCAGCGGTTGGCTGAGGAGCGGCTTGCCTGCTCGCATCCGCGGGTGGCCGAGCCAGCAGGAGAGGCGCAGCGCGCAGAGGCTCTCACTGGTCGGCAGGGGGGTCTCACTGGCGCCAGCCGACGCGGCGCTCTCGCCGGGCAGCAGCGGCGTCAGCGCGCGCAGCGCCTCGGCGCTCAGCGTCACCTCGAGCGCCGCCTAATCTCGGGCCAACCTCGGGTCCTCTCGGGTCCTCTCGGGTACCTCAGGTCCCCTCTCACTCTCGGGTCCATCTCGGCTGCCTCCCGGCTGCCTCCCGGCTGCCTCTCGGGTCCATCTCGGCTATATCTCGGCTACATCTCGGCTACATCTCGGGTCCCTCTCGAGCCTCGCCTGTCTCCGCTCGCCGCCGACGAGCGCCTGGGCGAGTAGCCCGTACCGCTGCGGGGTGGCGGGCTGCAGCTGCGGCGCGGAGGGCGGCGGCGGCGGGAGGGGGGAGAGGAAGGGGTCGAGGCGCTCGGCGCGGCAGGCGGCGCAAGTGTACCTTTTGCGGAGTGAGGTGAGTGGTTAGTGAGGGGGGGGTTGGGGGGTTGGGGGGTTGAGGGGGGGTGAGAGGGGTTCAGGGGAGAGGGGCGAGAGGGCGGAGGGGGCGAGGCAGGGCAGGGCAGGGCAGGGCAGGGCAGGGCAGGGGCGGACGGCGGAAGGACTGATCTCGGCCGATCTCGGCTGATCTCGGCTAATCTGGCCCTGAAGTGTCCCTGAAGTGTCCCTGAAGTGTCGCAGAAGTGTCTCAGAAGTGTCCCTGAAGTGTCTCTGAAGGGAAGCGTCTCTCGTAGCGTCTCCTGTGAAGTGTCTCAACTCGTGTTTCTGCAGCGTGTCTGCAGCGTGTCTGCAGCGTGTCTGCGGCGTGTCTGCAGCGTGTCTGCGGCGTGTCTGTAGGCGTGTCTCTACGTGCGGCACCGGCTGGCTGCCCCGCCAAAGGGCGGCACGCCGAGGCAGCGGGCATGCATCGTCTTGCGGCACGAGGAGCAGGAGAGGGGGTGCGAGCTCGCGCCCCTGAACTCGTCGCGGCACACGCATGCGGTGGGGTGGCGCGAGGAGGAGGACGGGAAGAGCCCTGGCGGTGGCTGCTGCTGCTGCCGCTGCTGCTGCTGCTGCCGCTGCTGCTGCTGCTGCCGCTTGCCTGCTTGCTCGCGCCGCCGGAAAAAGGGAAGGGGAAGGGGAAGGGGGGGTTAAAAGGAAGGGGAAA